TAATAAGCACACATCCGGTGWGTTTAATACATCTCTTGTCTAACTGTTGAGTGCTTTCGTTGACGCTTTTTTTATTCATCTGACATCGTTTTCGGTACGACGCGTATTCATTCATAAATTACTTTCATTCTCTTCGTAATAGGATTTTTTTAATTTAAATGGTAGGGACGATTCAACAATCGAAGAATTTCGAGTAAACGGTTTCAACATCAATGAAAGAACTCATTACAAAAATTGGGTTTAGAACGCAGAGGTATGCGCTACTGTGCTGCCTTTAATAATATCATAACTTTTTTGTTTGATTTTTTTGGTTAGAGGTGTGGTGAGTAGTCAAGATGTTTCAAAGCTTAATCTCTAACATGATTTGATTTCAACATCTACAATTATTATGTTTTTTGTCAGGGATGAAATCCAAATATTCTTCAYAACATAAAAATGGGTAATCAACTTTATAACTCCCAAAAACTTTTGCATAAAATCACACACGATGCAATCCATTTAAGTGCTATACGACAAGTGTTTTTTTTAAGATATTGAGCTATTTCCGGGTGCCTACCTTAAAATAATAGATCGATTTTTCGGATTTCCGGAAATCATCCTAAACACTGCAGAATTGATAAAATCTTAGGTAAAAGTGTCCGGGTAATACGCATAAAGTGTTTTGACCTAGGAACGACAGTTTTCGAGTTATACATTTTTTTATTTTAAAAAATCAAAAAGTTAAAAACGCTTCTAGCCAAAACTATGGGCGTTGCGTTTTAACTAAAGCAGATATAAATGTTATTGTCTTTTCCATAGGACCAACAGTTTTCGAAAACGACGTATTAAGTAAACCTAWAGAAAAAAAWATAATTTAAAATAAAAGGGTTAACAATTTTTAATTTTCGATGTTATAGTACGCGCTGAAAATCATCTAAACTCTGTGGCAATTCACGAATCGTAGAATTCCGTGCCATCCCACATTCCATCAATGGCAAACCTCATTACAATGCAAAAACTTCACAAAATGACGTTTAAAACGTTACGGTATGCGCTACTGTGCAGGTATCGTCTTAATAATATCGTAATTTTTTTCTGTTGGTTGTGGTTTTTTGTGTAGAGGTGTGGTTAGCAGTCAAGATGTATCAGAGCCCAATCTCTTTTATGATTTGTTCTGAACAAATCCGCGCTGTCGTCCTCTCTTATGAAATTATAAATACATCAATGTACCGATTGCATTCATTAACGTGGGAATGTTCTTTAATTGCTTTTGGACGCTGTAATTAACGTAATTGCTGCGAAAACATATCATTAGGCTTTTTTCGTCAGGGCTAATAACCATCAGAACATTTCTAATACATTGTGTAAGATGAGGTGCTCGAGTAATTATTATTAGGATCGAACTGACTACCAACGTCCTCCAAAAATTTCATTAACATTTACCGTTGGAGCTTGTTTTTTCACATTTCGACAAAAATAATTTTAATTATTTGGATTCAATAACGGTAACGGAACACATCTAAATAAAATCTAACCGAAATACGTGATACGTGATGTGGTGGATATATTTTTTTTTAATACCAAAAAATGTTTTTCTTGAATTTTCTTTGAGAAAGTCTCACAATCTGAGTCGAGTTAAGATGATAAATTGCCACGATTTGTTAGTCAACTATTACAGTAATAGTCGCGGCGTGTGTAGAATGGTCTTTGTATACGTATATAACAAGTATGAGAGATGGATGCACGTCAAAAAATTCAAGCTAAATACTACTTGCAAAAGAAATAAAACAATTCCATTTAAAAGTAATAAATAGTGACAAAACTATTCAAAGAATAATAATGTGACAAAAAATAATTAACAACTTCTTCATTCCTCTGAATCTGTCATTAGAAAGATTATTCATTTCCTTCCTTCAAAGAAATCGAGTAAAGATTAATTTAGTTAGAATGTTTTAATTTGTTATGTGAAGCTGTCATGAGTAACCATTACGAAATTGTTGATAAAGAGTAACAGAGAAATTTCTCTGGTCCAACAGAAACCACTTTCCCCTAAATGACTAATTTTAATTACACTAAARTTAATTATAATAGTACTACCGGATCTTTTCTGCRCCAMTGTTTAATTAGTTGATTGACAGTGCTGCCAACTCACGAYCCCACAATTAAAACCATTAATTCAATACCATGGCACTGAAATTAATGTTCAATTTCCMAATAAATTTCACTCGTACAAAAACCAGCTTAATTATCACTAATTTACTTTAAAACCCATTCCATATTAAGTAAATATTAATTAAACTTTTTGTCTCTCTATCATTTTCTCCAGTGAAAAGCTCGAACAAGAGAACTCCATTTGCTATGCTCGGCCGTCTCGTTCCGTAAAATTCGAACACAATTAAACGATGAAAACGTCTTTTTTCTTATGATTTTACCCGAATGAGTAAACATGTGTAAGATCATCGCGGCCGCGTCGACTGGAAAAAATCCTTTTAATCGTTCCGAAGCAAAAAACTCGAATAGTATGTATACAAAAGCGCGCTTTAGAAGAATGTCAGACACAATGCGACGTTCTGTTAATTTTTCTAATTGCTGATTTCCCAGCCCTAATGACGGGCCCATCGGACATATGGTTATAATTGCGGCCCATGCCTGAGGTAATGTGCTTATGATTGCAAGGTAAAAAGCGTACAAAACACATCTTCCTGTTTTTAAATTGTCATTCTTTAATAATTTTATAATGACAACGACGTGTGTGTGACCTGCGCTTTATTAACGCTTCGACTCACCGGAGAACACAAATTAAACCAAAATTTCACATTAAATTAAATAAAACCCAAAAAGTTTTATTAATTGAGATCAACTTGAAGAGAATTTGAAACAAATTTTGGATGAGAAAATGTTTAAAATTATCTAATCTGCACCGAATAGAGGAATTCATTTAAGGTTGTTGAAGGATCATTTTCAGAGAAACTCCCTCAGAGATTTATAGTCTCTTAATTTTTTTTATTCAGTCAATAATAATTTAAGACTAAATCCTTATTCTCTTATATTCTTCAAAAATTGTTTATGTACACTGTTATTCCTCTATCAAAAAAAAAACTATGAAAGGTTCTTCAGAGTTGAAAGTTGAAACCTAAATGATCTACTACCCCACTAAATGAGGAGCAGAATTGTAAGAGATAAACGCTACTTAATGAAAAATATATTTATACGTTTTTAAATCAGACAAGAAAAAGAATGTTTGATTTTCTAAAGTCAGCAATAATAAGGCGGTTGTTTTTGAATAATCTTTTTAATTGTTCGTGTCCCGCATGGTTCTCCATTCGTCCCCCCGTTTATTGTCTTTTCGAGTCATTTGTTTTACCGCTGCGTAAAACAAGTGAATAAAAAGCAGTCCATACATAATTCACTTTATGGCAATTCGAGGTGTGCGCATACAATTTTTTCCATTTCAGTTGGTGTCGGCGCTCTTTTTCGCCATTTATGTTCTAACAAGTGATAGTCCAGTGTCCGCGAATTAGCATTAATGCAATTCTCGCTGAACAATTCCGACAGCCCTTTGTGTAGGTTAGTTATGGCGGTCGGTAAGATTAATGCGACGAATTAATTCAGGATCTCGCCGTCTGGCAGTCCTGTCTTCTTCTCATTAAACATGGCGAAGCTGCGTCGAAATAGTTACCCGACAAAAAAAGTGCCCATGCATAATTCTATAAGTACCGCGGATTATTAAGCTGCTTCTCTTTTTTAAAAGAGCCGTCGCCGTGTTAAAAATCGCACAAATAAAAGCGCGGAATTCTCTCGAGAGCGAGGCGGGAAAAAAAGCGCCGATTAATTCGACCAAAGAATTGCAATTTTAATTAAGTATTTCAACCGAATTGCAACCGACACAAAGGAACCAACATCAAAACGAAAAAATAGCACGAAACACAATTTTTCAATAGGGTTTTATCAATTTTCAGTAGAAGTTTTTTCAGACTTTATTTTAATTAACCTGTCAGAATTCATGCGAGGAAGTTTGACAACGCATTTCGTGCAGATTGCTTCGTGTCTCAGATTAAACCAGTGCAAAGACATCTCACGAGAAAGGACTAAGTGTAGCAGTTAAAAATAATCTGCTTTTCTATAACATATAATAATAAAATAAATTTTACTTCCACACAGTTATTTTCTCTCTTCATTTATTAAACAACATTAATTTTGTATGATGTAATCTTATCTAACAATCTAAATTGCCCATAATTAAATTAAAAAAAATATGTTAAAGCTTTCAGTGAAATAAAAGAACAGTCGAACCAAATAACATTTTTTATTTCTTAAAAAATTACAACTTTATAAAGACAATTTTTCTCTCAATTTCTCTTGTCTTCTCCTTTCGATTTGCTGCACTTCCTTCGTTTCTTCCTTGTCCAGCAAAGCACAACAAAAGTGATAATTAAAAATTTAATCCGAGCGAATAAAAATGCGCCGACATCTCCATTAATTCTTGCAAAAATGTCTCTCGTTCGACCATCTCGAGATAATTACAAAGATTAAAATCGTTAATCAGTCGTCTTCTCGGAAATCTGTTAATTAAACAACAAAGCAAAAGGAATTCGTTCTAATTCTCTCGATAAAAAACTTTTGTTATAATCTCTGGTATATCTAAACTCGGCAGCTGTGACAAGGGCCGCCGCCGCCGCGCAGATTTTGTACTCTATGTTGTATCAATTTATCACGGATTTAAGCTCGCGCAAAAAATTAATTTCCCTTTTTTCCTCTAACATCTGGTCAATTTTTCATAATTACACTTTTCCGACACTGTGACGATAATTATCGAGTAGTATTTTTTTCCTTTGAGGGATCTAATGACTGTCGACCGCTCAACAAAAAAACCTAATTATATAATTAGTTATGCTCAGAATGACAGTCAGGTAAAAGTTAGACAAGCCTTCTATTATAGTTGTTAATGAACAAACATTTTTCAATGGAAGTTTTATTTTGTTCGTCAAGCCATTGTGTCAAGTAATTAAATTAAAACTCACCCATTGATGGATGTCTGAGTCATGAACCAGCCCAAGAAGGCTTTGACGACCGAGTGCCAAATTTGAGTGAGAATCCAATCGGATTTTTCTTCGGATTGTTGAAGAAATTTGATGGTTTCGTCATCTGGTCCCAATTCGATGAATTTCGATGACAAGTCAAGAGGTATCTTGGATAAGTCGCAGTGGTACCACTGAAAGCGAAAAATTTTTGAAACAGTTATGAAGATTTATAGATGATGGGTGCAAGAAGATATAAATTTCTGAATTGTCGGGTATTAGAGGTCATAATGTCGATACCCCAAGATACTGTGCGATGAACCGTAGAGGATTTAGTACGTGATTGTCTGATAGTACTATAATTACAACAATTTCAAAAATCGCTCTAAAATGTCTCAAAACGCATAGAAAACGAGTGAAAAATTGAAATAATTGAAGAAGAGTCGTGCAGCAATGTTTTATGAGAGAGAAGTTTTAATTACCGAACGGCGTGAACCTTTCACGTCTCCTCTAAGCGAACTTTTCAATTTGGCGAATAACAAGGCAGTCGATTGTGAAGTTTCCGCGAGAATAATTAATGATACAATTCTCTTACTTGTCAGTGCAAAATAATCACTTCAGGTGTTCGTCAAAACGAATGCAAATCTTATGAATATTTATATTGTGTATGCATAGGGAATCGCGCCTTTGGTGAAGAGGCGCATTATTATTCATACCGTAAAACAAAAACGATGAGACGTTAATTGGCCTGGTACTGCGCCAAAGGCCTACACCCGACAAGTAGTTCGAGATTTAAATAGACAATTAAGTAATCTCTGAATTGTTACCCTAAGAAGAATTCATTCCACAGCTTGCATATTACCTACAAACTCCTACAACCGATTTACAATGCCTGAAGCCGCCACCATATACGAGTACGTTTATGGAAATAACATTTTCATTCTTCAATTCTTGAATTTAGTGGATTTTATCTACTTTAGCATGTACCTTTTTGCCATTTTTTAAGAAGATAGTCTTTCAGTTTACATTTGGACAACTTGTCTAAATAATAAACAAAACAAACAGAAAAAACAGTGTAAGTTTCGAATGTATTTTAGAAGAGTTAAAATGTAGTCTACAAAAATCATTTTTGTAAAACATGATCAAGATCAACTTTATAAATATCTAGTTTGGTGATAATTTGCGGGTACAATTAAATTTGATCTATTAGATTTGAAGTTGTTATTAGTTAATAAAAAATCAGATTATGGTACTTCTTATTTTGAAAATCGAATTTTTGTTTTTCAAAGTCGCTCCATTTATTAGATCATTCGAGTATATGCTGAATTTGATATTGTTTAAAAATTTTGATGTGGCTTTGAGTAGATACTGAGTTATTTTTTATTCTCCTCGTTTGTGTAATTTCTCATGGCACTATCTTTTCGTTCGTGTAATGAACACATTCTATGATAATTCCTGCGGTTTGTTCCACCGTTGGTAGCAGTGGTTGATGCACGGCTTGTCTGATGTCAAGATCCGTTCAGAGTCCACCTTATTTGTGTAGATTCGCGCCCGTAACGAACCGTCATCGCCGCATTTTCCGTAATGAAGTAACATGAAGTGACCGTTTCACCGACATGTAAATAAAGCACTAGCGAGGCGAATAAATTTAAAAAAAAATTCGCCGTCGGCTCTCGCCATATTGCACATTAGCCAATTATCGATAATAACCCGTCACGAGGAGCGAATTTCCTTCGAATCGCCTTCGTCGCTTGAAAATTTGCATTTGGCTGATTGGTCGGGGATGATGGAAACATACCCGAGGGATCCATCCATCACTTACCTGGAAAAACAGACCCCGGCCTCATGTGCAACCGACATATAAGGTGACATTTAATAAACAAATTGCGCTTATTAACTTACGACCGGAGGAATCCATCTTGAAATTGCTCCAAGTTCGATTGCGTTTTTTTCTTCGTTTGCTGTGTTCGAGCCGAAATTGGACGGTTTTATTGAACTTTACGAATCTGATCGAAAGTTTCGACAGCATGTGCTTGTTTGTTCCATACACCAATAACAGGGAGGTAAAGGGAAAAAAATTGCCTCACGTGTTTAACGCTTATACACGAGGCTGAGATTACGAGATTATCTAGTGTGAGTGTGAACGCAATTATTTTTAATGGCAGGACGCCGACTACCAAACTGAATAAATACCCAACGAGAATTTAGTAACTCTAAAAAAAATTCAAACAACTTTTTGATCAAATATTATGGTAATTTACATTTTCAACTTTGCTGAGTAATTGAATAATGACCCATTAATTTCACTAGAACACTAGATAAAAAAATTTAAAAGTTTTTACTCCAAACTCTTGTAGTGACCACAATGATGAAGGCTTTTAGGAAATTGTTATACCACAACTAAACAAAATTAGATAAAACTATTTTATAATTTATTATACATTACACAATTAAAAAATTAAAATCATGTATAGTTTTTGGGTTTCAGCCCTTGTCCTTCTTGCAACCCTTTTTAGGCAAAAATGTTTTGGACTTGAGAATATTTCTGTTTTCCCCCTTTTTTGGATTTCCGTTAAGACGCCGTGTTCCACATCTGTCGATATTCGTTCAATTGTCTGTGCAAAAACGTGTAATTTGTTTATTTCGCGCTTTGACAATGTGTCGTGTTGAAAAAACGTCGCTGTTGAATCGTTGGCTGGATTAAAGAAGACACGGAGCGGTAAAAACCCACTGGGTTGATATTTTTATGGCGTTGGTCGAAGTGGACAGGAGGCGGCTACTTCCATTCCTCGGATGTTTCGAAGTAAAAACTCTTTCGCCACTCTTTCTAGTCGAGTAGATTGTTTTGTCTTCGTGAGTTTAGGATCGCTTGGTGACGTTTGTGTAATTAGTCGATGGGGCAGGTGTCGAATGCACTCAACCTCTAATTCATCGACCTTGCCCGGATTTTTTTCCGGTAAACAAAATTAAATAAATTGCTTTCTAATATCTGGTCCGAAGCCTACTTTCAATTTTACAACAATATGTAATTACTCGTCTTAATATCCGGTCAGAGATTTTTTCACAAGAGGGTTTTGAGGCGAGAAACAGGATTGAATTGGGTGACTGGATTTGGTTTAATTAGTGGCAAGATGACGGGCGATTTTAATTCAAATTATGTACACTATAGCGCAGCTTACAAACGTACAAATTACATTTCAACCATTGTCAAGTCGGTACTGTAAAATGTTACCTTTTTTTCTTCTCTTATTTACGTTTATTTATTTATATACGTATGTATTTATTTATCGGGCTGTCTGTCAGACTTGTAATTTAGTGTGACTGTGTTTAGGTCTTATTGTAATCGTGAAAAGTGTTGACGTCACTTCAATATCGCCCGTCTGTCAGAACGCTTTTGTTCATTTTCTTAATGCAGCTACTGGCTTAGCTCACTTTTGAGCTTTCAGCTACTGGATTCCACATAGATTGACTCGCTGATGCCCACTTGTCTAGCAGCTTGACATCCACGACCATGGTGGGAAACTTAGCCTGCAACCATTACCACCATTTTCACTCTTTTGAAACCCACTAAAGTGCTGCTTTCCAAAATCAAAAACACTTAACAACTTTAGCAAAAGTATCACTTGTGTGTAAATTCAGTAAAAATTGACAAAAAATGACTCAACATCTTCTAAAATTCCGAAATGATATTGTAATAACAAAGTTGCTGTGGATCAAGTAGAATATTTCGCATTTTCATTCTTTGCAGAATCGTGATGTCAGAATGGATTTTACTTCTCGCCCTTATTATAAATAACTTATCTGAATAAAGAATGCACGTTTGGAACACGTTTTGGTACTCGCATCTCGTCTCGTATATTCGATTCTTGCAAAGGGGTCCGAGTATTTTACTTCGGTCGCAATCAAAATGTGATCGAGCGCGCCGCGAGGTATTCCGAAATACATAAATTCCCATATATTGTGAGAGAGAAGCAACCCCCTCAGTTCCACCCTTAAGTAAAAATATATGTATCGAGTATTGGAATCGAATCCCGTGCCTGACACTCTGATACATTTTAAATTCACATTCGTAAGTACGGAAAATAAGTCTGATAGCGCGTTGGGAGAGAACGCTAGGGCCTTTGTTTCCGTTATTAAGCCCAGCCATTTTTCCATTTCCCGTCTTTTCTTCTCTTGCGTTTTGTTGTTGTATTTCATACGAATCCGCCTTGATTAGTTTCGCCTCCCGGCCTCTTTTCCGCCTCCTTGAATCATGCCTCGACGAAATTTATTCCAATACTTGTTGTTTACAAGACATTAGCCATATCGACTCTCTTATACAATCAAAGGAGAACAAACTGCATTCGACAACAACTACAATTAATCTAGAGAATTTTCAGACTCGGGAAACGACGATCATTCGTCTGTCAGACCAAAACTAAGCTCATTCTTGATTTTGCAATAGTGTCTTATCGTATAGTTAAACCCCACCCTGTATGTATGCACGTTTTGTCGTGTCAGCTCACAATTCACGCATCATCGTGAATGTTTAATACAAGTCGCTCGGTGTTTTTCTCCAAACCCCTTATGTGAACGTGGCACATGCAAGAAGAAACCGGCGTGTGTGTGTCTCCCGGAGCCGTCCTCCTCCCTTTCCGGTCCCCGGATGCAAACGAGCTCCGAGATAGAGGCAAGAGACACCGGAGATCGAACGGTGATCGACTCGATGCACCTTCAGGATGCAGATTTGTGACGTTTAACGCGGTATAAACGACACTGGCTGTCTCACAGTCTCGTTTCGCATCCGCTTCAGCTTCAGATTTTCATCATCTAATATTCTGTCGAGTTTTATGTGAAAAAATGACGACGCGTCAAAATAACGAATTAAAAGGTGTACGAGGAGAATACCGTTAATTTATCCATCTAAAGAGTTAGTAAATAAAATAATGAGTGCTAGTCCGGGCCTGGATTATTTATAAAGTCGGGTGTTAACAGAGGAGACGGCGGGTACCTCCCATTCGAACCCTCTGAAATATGATTTTAATTAAGTTCTCATTATTTATGTTGATGAGGAGGCGAAGATAAGTACAATGTTAATAACAATCATAACTTCGAACGGTAGCAAATAGTGGATGGAACGGGCCGGAATGCTATCGAGGCGGACCTGATAATTAAAACGGTCGGAATCCGGTCGGATTGTCGGGATCTGATATAGACCGTGTTTACATACCTGCCGACCGGCGATTTATTCATTTAATATTTAAATGGGATTACTACTGAAGGGAATTGGCGACCAGGTAGCCCACTATCGATGCTAATTCTCTCCGACAACTTGTTGGCTTGTTGGACACGAGCCGGCCCTGTTCTCAACGCGTTTACATTCTTCACGCACGCTTCACGACTGAAATGGCAGGCAAGGACTTAACCGAATTTTTAGGCCGAAAAAAAGGAAAAATTTGATACATTACATTTAATCAAAAAATAAGAGAGAAAATACAATTAGAAAACTAAAATCTTTTCAAATCTGTTTTTCATTGTGTACGATTATGTGGAGTATTTTACTTCTAAAACCAATAGCAAAATAAATTTCATCTTTGCATGCTTTCATCCCTGCATCTCTCGGTCATTGTGAAATTCGGGTAGTAAATGCGCGTGACAATTATGCGTTTTTTTGGAGGGAGTTCGTCAAGGGACGTAGTTTACGAGCGGTCCCTAAGGTACGCTAACCTCCGGTTACGTACCTTCCCTTTTAGCTAGGCACTCAACGTGGCTCCCAGTCATAGTTCTATGCATCGCACGCCGCCACGCACCACTTCAACATATCGTTCGTCCTGATAATGTATTCGTATCGGGAAAAAGCCTCGCTACCGACCAGGAAAACGCATACGTTTCGTAATTTACACTTTGACGACGACGTTTCCGTCGATGCAAAAGAAGGACTTTTGATGCCTGCGTGATGTATTCATGACGGGGGTTAACAAGAGTTTGTGTTCCCCAAATCTGACGCAACGATGAATATTTCAAGTTATTGCAGACGTTCGAAGAGGATACGAAGGGATTAAGGTGACGCTTTGTTTCGGCGAAAAGGGCGGCGGAGCAAAAATCGATGTTCAAAAAAATAAAAGAATAAAAGATGAGATTTACACACGGCAAAAGATCTAATGACAGGGTTTTTTTGAATTGCAAACAAAATACATTCTTTAGAAAATATACATCCTGTAATTTTTATCTACATTAACTGCGACATAATAACATTTGACAATTATCGATGGGTTGATAGAGTTTTTTTTAGGTACAGATTTTGATGGAATTAAAAAAATACCGAAATGTGTTGAAACTATAAGGCAAAAATGATCGGCTCTATCAATTTTTAATCATTAGTTGCTATTATTTATTCGATAAAAAAAATATAGATTGTTCCAGACCCGGAATGGTACCTTAAAATTTCGAGCTGATGTTGAGTTGTGAGGCAGCAACTTGTCTCTTATTTCATTTTATAGAAAATACCTTTTTTAAAATTAATTTTCTCTTGAAATGTACTTCTTTCTGAAGGATGCTGTCGCAAAGACGCTTTATTGTTGTAATGAAATAAAAGAAGCAAAAATCACTGTTAAGCCGCGGCACCGAAATGGCATTGTATGCGATTTAAAATGCGGTCCCAATTAGAGCTTTTGAAGCTGTTATACATTGACGATCTCTTTGTTTTATCGCAAACATTTCGTAAACACAATCGCGATTATTCAGAGCCCGGCATATAATTGGCGTAAATAACGACCGGGCGCGCGTACGAAAAGAGCCTTGAGACCCCTTTTTTTAAAAACTTATCCCGAAGAAGAATTCATCGCATTACAGAAAAATCTAAATCACAAATGATACAAAGGGAGTAAACTTTCTTATAAAAACTACATTCCATTGTACAAAATCCAGTTAACTCATTTCACAAGAGCGAGTCTCCTTTGCGAATTAAACATTCCAGATTGGAGAGAGCGGCAAACGTGCGATTTGATAAGAACGGAAAAAAATTCAGAACGATTCCGGAACGCATCGTGCAGATTGTGGGCCCGGACTGTATTCTTTTCTTTGAAGTATTTCAGGGAGCGGGCTCGGTAATGACGTTGCCGGAGTAATCCATGCATATACGGGCTCTGAAACTACCCCACACACACATTCGGTTTCTTTTATTTTGCGAATCGCGGAAAAGATTTGATGAAAATCCCCGGTTGCGAAGGGCGAGGGCCCAATCAGCGCCGAATTTAAGATCATTATCGACGCGCCGAACACCTCAAAAGGACGATTCAAACAAACGTTCGCGCCCCGAGATGGACCATTATCCAAAGGAAATCGATCGAAATGATAGCGCACAATGGTAAAATTTGCGCTTATACTCAAAAAAAAAATGGAAAAGATTTTCACATTTTTTGTCATGGGCACTGACTGACAAATATTCATTCAAAATGAAAAAATACTTTTTTCTATTTTGGTGTCACAAAGAGCATTTTGTGTAACTGAAAACAGTTTTGGTGACACTGTTTTTTGAGGACATACTTTGGCCATTACTGGTCATAGATTGCCGTTTTTAAGGAAGAAATTGTTGTAGATCAACGTATTCGATCACAACAAATGTCAAAAATTTTAACTCTCAAATATAATAATAAATTAAAAAGCGCTCAATACAAAAAATAGTATAAAAGACACGTACACTGGCGGACACGGAATTTTGGACATCAAATTTATGTCAGTTCAAAAAATGTCAATGTAAGCCACGTATTGTCATTATGATTGACGTTTAAAACTAAAATGTGATAGTTTTAGTTGAAATTTATTTTTGGCGTCGATTTTCCGAAACCAGCAATGCCAGCAATACGTGTTTTCAAATAAATTCAGTAAATTATTTTGATTTGTTGTCATTTTTTCTCTAACTATCAGGATAAAAATTACAAAAACTGAAAGRGAGATTAGTTGCCTAAGACCCGTTTTACATTTTTATGTCAGTCGAATGACAAATCGTCCAAAATTCCGTGTCCGCCAGTGTATTACAACCTATCATTGTGATACTCGTGGCTCGTGTGACAATACTACTTGTATCACAATGAGAGTGTTTGTAACACTTGTTTTTTAATATACCCATTTCTACTAACTATCCAAAACTATAACAAAATAGTTGTTTTGTTACATCTAAATTCGTTTAATGGATTTCTATAATCCTTACTTTACTGCTTCTTACGACCCATAAAGTACTCTTGTGTATTATTAGTTCGTTATAAGATTGCAACAAATCGAGCAAAAAAACAATATCATTAAATAATAAATTTTATTTATTTTTTATTGGCAAATTATAAGAAAGAAATAATGAAAATCATTGACTTTTGAGGCAATTTCGGTAATTTCTTAAATTTTTACCGAAGTTTTAACATTTCACAACAGCTCAAAATTATTTTTTAAAGGTTGGAAGAATTAATTTTTTCCATCTTGCAAATATAGTCTCTTGAATACAGCTCGTACATGATATGGATTTTTTTCTTTGATTACCAAAAATTACCAATAAAAGCTTAAATTATATCTATCTTATATTAATTAGATAATTCATTAGTGATTACAAAAACAATAGTTAATAAAACCAGATTCGTAAGGCTGAATCTGTACCATGAGCAAGTTTTTAAAAGAAGTGCTGTGTTTGACAATGAAATCAAGTTTGAAAATTTTAGAATGAACCAATCAAGTCAAATTCTGAGGATACTAATTTGGCGAAAACTGTACACTCAAGTGGGTGTTTTAATCAWCATTTTTGACTCTTAACTGAGAATGTAAATAGATTTATTAAAAATGTACATACATAAATTTAAAAGCTAGCTTTTGGTAATTCTATTCCATTGTTGGTAATATCTCTAAGTCTCACTCTACAATGAAAGAGAAGAATATATTTTATTAACTTTATTTTAGAACGAAAATTCTGAAATAAAGTCTTTGCAATCGCCCAACTTTTAAGAAATTATTTTGTAAACCAGAATCTTGTGTCATCTTTTAAATTTTTTCTGTTTAAAAGAGTATTCAATTGACAAATGTACTTTTTGAATATTGAAAAACTTCATTTTCCAGCTATTTAAATGCACAAACAGATAAATAAGACCCTACCAGATCTAAATTATGCAAAAGACAAAACGTGCGGTTTTATCGATATGAAATAACGCTTATTACAGTCACGATACTCTATTTACTCATATCCACCACGCCATCTCCGAAGAACTCCTAAAAAATTACCCACCTGGACACTCAACATGACCTTACTCTTCCCGAAAAGCATCGTCGTGAATTAAGTACCGCACAAAAAACCATCATCACCTTGACTGAACACAATAAATGTCTTATTAATCGTGGGATTCTGATAAGATAAGAAGTCATAAAACGAATTCTTGTTTGTCAAAAGCGAGCAAATAACAAATTTCTTCTTTAGCAAATTGGTTTATTCGAAAACATTTAATAAAAATATGCACTTTATGAAATCCCCGATTGTGTGTCGTTCGGGGTGTCTTGGGAATTTCCGCCGCAAAATTGAATCGGGACTCTTATGCCCACGTCCTCCGAGTCGCCCCCGCCATAACCATAAAATATTCACAAAGCAAATACTGATTTATTATTGAGTAATTGTTAATGATTGGTGGACGCTTTGATGACCTACACGTAAAGAAAATTGACGATAATTGGGTTTGCACAGCTACATGGATTATTTATGTAATCATTGTTCATAACGAGGGGAAAAGAAAGCAAAGAAACCGAACGAAAACGCTCGTTTTTCAATCCTCTTGAAAAAAACTACGCAAACGCGTTTTATAAGGGCAGTTATTTCAGGCACAGCAAGCACACAATTATTAGCGTGTTTACTGACCTGGCTCTTGTCAAACTGACTTAGGAAGTGGTCCGTTTGCTGCTTCTCGTACAGAGCCCGAGCGAGGCCCCCACGAGGTTTAAAATTCAAAGTAGGCCCTATGTCCTGATCGAGACAAAAATCATGATCGGGTCCTGATGAACTTTTGTAACAAACACCATCGTCCACCATCGCGGAAGAATTAAATAAACAATGAGCTTGATGACAGGAAGAAGTGAGGTTATGCGGCACAAATTCACAAATTTACGCACTGAATTGTCTCGAAAACTACAAAAATGGGTAGTTTTAGTAAAATCACAATAAACGTATGCTAGGGTCAGGAAAATGGACACGTAGGAACGGTTTTAAAGCGTATTTGCTTTCACTTTTGACAGTTATAAAATCATTCATAGGTGAGTTGTGTTGGCACCGCTGGAATTGAGCTGACAAGTAACTAGGCGCGTAATTTGAATCAATTTGATTTTTGGTGGGCTCGTTTTGAATGTGTGATTAGGAGAGAAAAATGACTTGTCAGAATAATTAGATTAAATTCGAAACTTGCATTGATCGTTTCGTGGAATTGTTCTTTTGAAATGAGCTGAGTAACAAGTTGTAATGAGTCTTTTGCAAGTAATTGCGTAATTGTCAAAAATATCTTCCATACATTACATTAATAACCGAGGTGAAAATCAGTTTTGAGCGAGAGCCGAGGTCCATTAACAAAAACCAGTAGCACGATGTTAATTTGAAAGAGATTTTCTTTTTTGTTCCTCGATGGACGTATTATGAAGCAGTGGCTAATGTACAGGTCTACCAGATGGAATTACAATTCACATTAATCTCAATTGTTCGGGGAGAAAATAAAGAAGACGACGTTGGTTCATTTCGGTAGCCAAACAAGAGCGACTTAAAGTTAATTAAGAATGAAATTATGTGTGTATGCAGTTTGAGTGTAAAGTGTTGAAAATTGAAATTTTAATTAATCTCGGACAAGATCGGCGTGTTTTAATAATTTGTCGAAGAGGGACAAAAAAGCCTTCATTAAGACGTGACTGGAAGAAATCGTGTCTGAGGAAAAAACCGACATTGAGTTTCGAGTAATTTAAATTTAATTATAATCCGAAATTTATACACAAACAAAAATCCAATTAAAACGGCGGAATTAAATTCGAGAAACGTTTTAACACGCGAAATCTCTAAATCGCATAAAAATTATCCGTGCGCATGATACTTTATTAGTGTCGAGACGTCGGCGAGGAAAACCGACCCAACTTACCGGACCCTTAAGGGCCGGAATTCCTTAAGGATTTTCCCAGTTTTTTAAATTGCATCGTGTAATTTCTACTCGAGTATAAATGAGGTTTTTTAATTGGAAATCCGAGCTGCGATCCGGAGGGACGAGAGGGCGTATAGTTAGCGATTTATTTTAATGAGAGTTTCGTTTCTTACGCCGAATCGCATGCCAAGTAGTCCAATAACGAAATATTATTACAATCGCTTTTTGCAGCTTTTATTGTCCTTTTTTCATTCGACGGTAATGAACGTCGTAAAATCCTATTAAAAACGTTGATGTGCCGGGAAAACTCTTTAATATAAGCCCCCACACAAATTATTATTTTACCTAATTCTCACAGAATCGATTCGTGGTATAGCTTTTTCGTGATCTTTTACTACATCGAAAATAAATTATTATCAAATGTTTGGATAAGCAATATTTTTATTGATGTCACAGCATTTCGTCATATCACGACCATATCAATCGAATATTGATTCCAACCCACCCCAATCTGTCAACCTTCAACACCGCCGACAACAACCTAAAAAAATTATAAAAAATGATGGACAAAGCGAAGTCATAATTCTCGATGATTCTCACAGCATTTCAAAAGTAACAATAAAACCGTAGAATTACAAAAATATTTTTATTTTTTTCGGACATTGAACTTGTCTTGCATTGAAGGTTACTTGTAGTGGTACCACTTCTTGTTACATTTGATTAAACTTAAAATCCATCCTTGGGTTCCTTTTACCGTATTTTTACTGAAATAAGACAAGAACAACTTACAGATTCTAATAAAAACCTCGTTACAGCGTTCCATCAATTCATAATTCCCGTTCGTATCGAATCAAAAAAACTTTTTCATGTTTTTCGATTAATTACAAATTCCGTAAATATTTCCTAAATGTTCGCCACTTTCGAACAATTTCAAAAGCGACAAAAAATTGTCATTAAGCACATGAAGGTTATTAAAAGAGTTTTTACAATGCACCAATTAGTCGCTGGCTACATGATTGTTCCGTGAATAATTCAAAAATTACAATTGAGTGAAATTTTTTTGCGCGACACTTAATAATGGAAAAATAATAAATATTACCGTACACTTCCTCCTCATTGTAATAATTAATGTCGGAAAGAAATATGCCGCTTACGTAACCGATTTATGTACGTTGGAAATTTTGTGGTGAATTATCTGCAGGAGTTCACCCGCGGAGCTTTCTCTCATATCGAGGATTTATGCGACGAGGAGTGGAAAGGCGAACTTGAAGAGTCGTTATTAAAGTGCAAGCAACACCCTGAAAATTCAAGTTTTTTCTGTTTCTCTAAAATAAATAATAAAAGTTTGCCTTCAAGACATGTGAAACATCGAAACAAAAAAATGCAAATAGAGCAGATCAACAATAATGGACGAGAAAGTTAAAAATGATGAAATTAGTTTAAGAATAATTAAACACTCAAAAACTTTGCATAGTTTAACAAAGTGAATGCTCTGACGCAAATTAATTTAATTTTAATCGCAAATAATCGAAAAAGTGCCCCAAATCGCTTTCATATATTGTAATGGTTGATGGTCAGTTAACCACTTCCATTATTAAAAGATCTACTTATTATTCTTGACAGCGAACAATGTTTCTTGCATCGTTCCGGTTCGTGAAAACAAGTAAGTCTTTATTATGTAAAATATGGAGAAAGTTCGGTGAGTTATGTTATCGGCTGCACCCTGTATATAGGAGTGCACTTAATTGTGTGAAAATCCCTGAAATTAATCTTCAGCTTTACTAATTCAATTTCGAGTAAGTTGCGTGTTTCGATCGGATTTAATTGCTTAACGATTGCTCCGAATGCTTTAAACTCTGTCATTATAATTAATCAAGTGAGTAAAACATAAAAAGCCAACGTTAAATGGCATTCCAGAACTGCACTTTCCGAAATGAAATTTCTGATTTGAAGAAGGATTTCCCACATTTATTTAATTTAAAAATGTTTAAATTATGTTTTAACATTAATTTCTTAATACTTATTAGTTTTTTATATGTTTTTTAAATGGTACCAAATAGAATCACATTCTTTGCTTTTTCGGAAAAATATTGTTTTGAAAATTATATTTTTATAAGATGATTTAAAAATCACTGGAGGGTCAAAAAAATCCACTGTCTAAAAAGAAAAATTTTTTTTTTATTTGAAATAGGATATAATATTATGTAAGTATTTTAAAATTTTGAAAGAAAATATCCCAAACTTGAAAAAAAAGTTGATATAAACAATAATTACGAGCATGAAAAAATTCTTGTAAGTTATATATAGCATTTTAAAATAATATGCAGAAAAGCCCAAAAAAAGCAAACTGTTAAATAAAAGAACACGTATTTAAAAATATAGATTGCGAACCGAAAAAGATATAAATTATAATCTTACAGTTTTATAAAGCAAAGAAATAATAGAAACAACATTCTGGAATTTATGATTAATTAGCAAAGCTATGAGAAGATTTAGTCTTTCTTGTAAGTAGGGCTAGACACAATTTAGTAAAATACCTCATTTGATCAAAGTGTTGAATTTTCATTATATTTTACCATAAAAACTTGATTGCTGAAAAATAAAGCCTCATTTTTAGGTGTTCTTTTTTTGTTAATAGTATGTACAATTAAAAATGTGAATAAATTTCGATCGAGTTTATTATTGAAGCGTGAAATAGTAATCCGGCGATGTAACAATTAAGTTTGATGAACCTGAGTGTCGGTTTTTCTCTCTGGTAAGGACAGATTTGAGACGGTCATGTCATTACCTGAGGTAATTCGATTGGTAATTTGCGGTCTGGCTGACAATGACCGTTCCTCCACGCGTCGGAAACAAATCTGTAATTGTACATCAAACTCTAATCACACTGCCCAACATTCTTCGGATGATATTCCATCTTCAATCAAGGACGGTCGCTCGGCTGGAACGTTTTCGAGACGAGAAACGATCATAATGTAGCGTTTAGCGCTGCTCGAAATTATCATATTTATTCGTAGAGGAGAAAAAATGACAGTTTTCGGGTGTATGTTGGTGCCTGGATCGACGATTAAATAATAAAAGAGTAATGAATGTGAGGAGTTGTTTCTCCCTCCCTCGTCTTGATGCGTATTAGGGTCCCCTTATACGCGGGTTTTATTTATTCATAGCAATTATGAATGTCAAAATTTGAGAAATAATAATAACAAGGACACAAGACGAAAGCGGCCGTAAACGTGTGAACGTAGCAGGTGGCCCGACGATTCCTAAACAGATCAACTCTATTATCAGACAAGATAATTCAAAACACGTCTATCATTGTCACTGCTTTGACACAAATATCGAATAATTGTTTTCTTTCCATTATTTCTCTATTAAGAACGATTGCATGCGATTTCGACGAATTGATAAACATTTACTTTGTGAATGCGAACATCTGAAGTTTTATTTACACAAATTAATTTCGACTAAATTACAAGCCATGTGCTCCCTTCCTTAAATTATTATCAATCAAATATAAAATAGTTGTTTCACTTTTTGAATAATAGAAAAGTACAAAGAAAATAGAGGTGTACAAGGTGCTGCATTTTGGATGTCCGAATAGGGAATCTCCGAAACTAAAATGTTTAGCCATAGACGAGTCATTCTGGGGCTCATTTTTTGAGAAAATAATATTGGTTGAAACCGCATCCCGCTATCGTCTTTTGTTTTCGACTTACAGACAAAAGTTGACATTTTGGCGAAATCTAAAAAAAATCATATCTTCGTTATTATAGAAGATACGGATTTGAAATAAAGACATTATACAGGCATTTTTACGAGGAATTTAATAATGTAGTTAACCATTTTTTTCAGTTATTGGTTTAGCCGTGATAAGATAAACTTGTATTTTTTTCAATGGAAATCATAGGCGGCTAAGGCAATTTTGAAAAGCTTATTTTTTTCTGATCTAAAAATATATATTTGTAACAGAATATTTTTTATAATTATACTTAAACAATTAAATACATATTTTGTTAGATTTGTTGTATTTGTTGGCCATGGAAAAACTATTTCACTCCAAATGTGTAAATTATAATCAATAAGAGAGAGTGAACTGTAAAATAGATGAAAAAATAGATAAAATTATAAAAATATAAAAAATC